AACATCCGTCTGACTGTAGACCCAAAAGCGAATGTGCTAGCTCGAAACCAAATTTGGTCCCGATGGAAGGGGACCTGTAACGAATGTTTGTCAAGCTATTACCCAGGATGGCCAACAATATCCAATGCTTCAGGCAGTACCTGTATGCCACCTGTAGCAGGATGGCCATTTTGGGACATTTGCTTTAAACAGACGAGCATCTGTAAACCTGGTCCAGTAGGGTAGATTATATGCCACACGACAGAGTGATCATGGTGTGCCTTGGCACATTTTTATCAATGCCAACATAAAACAATGAACAAGTGAAAGTTGAGTCTGAAGTCTATGGTACGTATAAAGATTGGAGACAACTCCAGTTATTAAACCATTGCGAACCTCCGGAAGAGGGGTGCGAAAAAATGCTCCCGAAAATCCGCTGTATCCCGAGGTAGTAAGTGACCCTTCCAAGGGGAGCGTTGATTGCCAGTCCAGTGGAAAAGTACTTACAACGCAACTGCTAACTTCTAATAAGTAAAGAGGGATGAGTGGTCAGGGTGACATAACGGAAACATGAATATCTCAGCCAGTGACCTTATTGAGGATGGCACCAATGTCATTAAATCCGTATAATGAAACACCGCATGTCTGTTGGAGCGTTCCTCCTCAGGTAATGATAACTACTGATCCGCAGAAACCACGTGCACATGTTTGTCCAACGAAACTAGGCTTTCTGGCGCCATAAAGTGATAACGCCGTCTCATTACTTTAACGGTGAGAAGAAGGACTAGCATGTCTTTGCCCATATCGCCACACCGAAATTATCGATCATTTTGTTTTGACTCTCTTGGGCTCATACACTCTAATAGGGTGCACATCTACTCTCATTTTTGCTATTGTTTCAGAGAACAAAAGGCGACTTCTTCCCGTGGACGTGTTTCGAATGATGATACGAAGAACAAGGAAGACACCTGGTGTTATTGGAGGTAGATCCGGCTCAGTGAATATCAACTGTGCACCAGTTCGACGTCCATGAAACATGTGATATGAAGTGCAGTATTTCATCGGAAAAAAATAATCGCGACCGTACCGTGATGCACTTCTGTGTATATGTAGGGCTCTACAATGTCAGTTACCCCGGGGCGACCGACTCCTGTTTCCAATGTTCCAATGACAGCATAAGATCCCACTACAAAGTATGTATTTTTGTGGATTTAACAGTATTGTTGGCATGATGAGTGTCTAACTCGATGGATTCGAAATAGACACTCGTTATTATCAACCGACATTAACAGCGAAAGCTGGGGCGTCGGACATGCGATGGCATTGGTACGAAGGTAAATTTACAATCTAGGTGACCAAGTCGCTCCCTTCACAATAAGCAGTAGCGCAAATGTTGAATCTATCCATTTCCTTCTATCTACGGAAAAGCGCTTTGAAACATTCTAAAAGGAGGTAGCACGGTATCTCGACAAGCGAGCAGTGGCATTTCTAGCACTAGAAAAAGCGTAAATTAAAATGTACAGATGGGCAAGCACCAGAAGTACCGTTTAACCGACCGATATCACACAACCACTGCGCGCAGTCATCCTGTTTCTTTCAACGGGCCGACAAATAAATGGTATGCAAGGCAATTATCGTTCGTCTTACACGTCAGATGACTGATATTCGAATCCCAGAGAAAACAAAGGATATGCGCTGCTGAAGAGGTCTAATAAGAACGGACTCCCATCCCAGCGTTTCCTTAAGGTTTGTTAACAAACTGATACACATGGCATGCAATGTATCATATAATGCATGTTATACACAAGCACCAGTAGCCAGTTAGGATTCCAAAGCTATTAAACAGGAGCAGTATTTTGAGACATTTCAGCTGATTTTAGCATCAATCAGGGTTGAAGGAAGTGTCAGACTAAGGGTTCATGATCAACGCAGTAAAAATTAACTCATCAACCTCAAATTCAAGGTGGTCACAGCAAGGAAAAGAAAGCCGCACTAACCCTTGAAAGTTATGGACCCTACATACGTCCGATCGTAAGCGCCACCAGGTAGAATGAGACTATTATATACAATTTGTCACTGTCCATGACCTCTAACCTAGTTGTGGTCTCTTTAGGTGGTCTTTCAACAATTACTGGAATAAAACTGAATATTCATAAATTGATGCGGTCGCTGACATGACCTATCAATTCGTTCAAAGTTTAACAACTGTGTGCGTCACACTATCTGTTTTTGAAGCCACAATACTTGTTCGCAATTTTGTGGCGGCAGCAGACAAGACACAGGACACATAAGCTCGTGTCTAAGAAGACCAGTAGTACTGAAAAAACGCAGCAACTCAAGATTCGTGTGTTCTCTTCAAACTGGTCGGCAGGTGACAGTATGACAGATGTCAAACGATCAGAATCAGGAGGCTCAAAGATGGGACACAACTGTAAACAATGGAACACATAAGACATCCGCACTAAACGTATTATAAACATGTATCATAATGATACAGAGTGTGCTCCAATATACGCCAATTTCATGTGCCTGCCATAACCAGTACGTCCTGTTGTGTACGTGGTAAAAAGGTAGGAGCGTAAAGACATTCATTGTTGGGCATCAAACTTGTTGCGACATGAAAAATCTCGCACCAACACGTACATGCCAAACTGTCCCGTCAAAATGGACAGCAACAAGTAGGTTCGTACACAATGATTGTCAAATAGGAAAAGGAAAACATCTTTATTTATCATAAAATGTTCTCCGTCGTACGTTAGTACAAGAATGAACACAGGAGTACGAACCATGCTCGAGTTCCCTTACAGTGGAGTGAGTAACGCAAATGTGATTACAGACTACGTACAAGTGAGGATCTGGTAAGTTATCGTCAAAACGGACATCGAGTCCCTTGATCTCCAGCCCGTACACTTTCTCCGATGCTGCAAACAAGACTGGGTCACCAACAATCAAGACTTTACTGCGGATCATTGGAAATGATCGACCGCCGTATGCGAAATTCATACTCATCGGTCACAATGAAGTGAGCATTCGGGCGGCTGCCTCAACGATCCCGATTTCTTCAGCGTTAATTCCTAAGCCGATCCTAATCCTCCACGGAGGTGATGACATATAATAAAATGACACGACCTTGATGTATGCGACCACTAGTTCAGCGCATCAGTATAAAGTTTATTTGTTTGGACAGTGTTCAGGAGCAAGCTAGGCGTTGGCTCCACGTCTGCACCAATCTCAGTCAGGAGGATTGGTCGCGTTCATGGGTACAGCTTACACTTAAATACAGTGAAGGAAGACACATCGAACCGTAAGACCCTATACTATCAAGTTCATAAGAACTGGTTAGAGTCGATCACTTTGTGCAATGGTTTAATTACATTTGCTCTTCACAGGCCGTCTCGAAGTTCCCATAACAGTGAGAAAAACGGATGCAAAGTGTGTATGATAACAGCACTAATCCAATCGTCATGGGGTCGACGGAAATATGCTGCCTGACCGATCGTGCTTGTATGGAACATTGCTGACTGTTACACCTGCCACTCACAAAACTGTGGGATGGTGCTACCTTGTAGTTTATATGTTCTGATCAGGTTGTTCAAGCCGCTTTCTTGTCAAAAAGCACCCAATTTGCGTCACTCCCAATTCGAAAAGACCATTGGAAATCGGTGAGTATTTTATCCCCTGGGAATTTTGTTACCAGACCGGAATCAGATGCGGAATTATTCATCCTGAGCAACACGCGTTAGCAACAGATGATTTTCCATTATTCAGTGACCCTACACTGGGAGTCGTGATTAGATGTTAGAAGCTTGCCTGTTTCCTCTTCATAGTGAAGGCACTTGAAACAGTTTCACCATATAAATCAGCAAGTCAGAAGGCATCATGGTTTTTCAATTCGCCAGGACATAAACAGAGGAATGTGAGAGCTAACTAGCGACAAGTATAACTGGCAAACAGACGGTGCACTTGTGTACTGGAATACCTTGACCCATGCTAGGGTTTTATAGGCAAAGAATCCATTTGGCAGGCCATGAACAGATCGAATAACACTCGGCCATAACAACAACATCCGCAAGTTCTTTTCCAAGCCAACATAATCGAGACACGCATGAACAGGATTCGATCGACCATCGATTGTATGGGTGGCATAAGTATTCGATTTCATGATAAATACGATCTTCAAAGCAGTGGCGAAGCCGATTAACAGTAAATTCACTGCGTATACTGCTTTAAAATCTCTCCTTCTAGGTGTAAAATTACTAGCTTTACGAGAACATGACAAACACAGTTGCTCCCGAAATGAGCTTACATCTGTTTGCTGAAGCGTACGAATAACTGTTGGGCTCTCCAAGTGTCAACACGTGTTTCGACAGGCTGAGTAGGAAACCCGAAAGGCTGATTTTCACCCAAAAGCCACTAGATATAAAGCTGGTCGGAACGCAAGCGGTAAGCAGAAAGGAACGCGAAGCACAACAGATAAAGCCACCACTCACAATGCTGTGTTCCCCAAAGAGAGCGAAACAACTAGCTGCCCTGTTGCTGTGTAACTTTCTCCGTTCGCGTTATTACCACCGACCAGTTGTCACTATATCCGTTATACAAGGCA